CCGTCCCTCTCTTCTGCAATCTGTGCTCGTGAGCAGGCGCTCTGCCACCTGAGCTGCGCCTCCCAGCCCGAGGCTCGCAGCTTTTTTGCCCAGGTGAGCTCCCGACCTCAGCCTCCCAGGTATCTAGAAAGACAGACACAGGCTCAGGCCACTCCTGAACTGTGGGGGCCCCTCAGGCAAGCAGGGCCCCTCCTGGGCTGGCCGCGCGCAGCTGTGTGTCCTGGGGCAGCTCCCCGGCCTCTCTGGTCCTCAGCTCCTGCGTGCTTGTGACCAGTGCCCACAGCTCGGACGCGTTCAGGGGTGGGGCGGGCTCTCGCCCTCACAGGCCATGGAGACTGGGGGAGGAGGGCTGCGTTCCGGCCCCCAGGTCTGTGTGGGTTCCCTGTTCTGGTGATGAAGAGCCTGAGGGCTGCCGGGGGCTCTCGGAAGAGGGGAAGGAGGGGAAGACGCAGCCAGGCGTCCACACGGCCCTGAGCCCCGGCCCCGTGGCCTGCGCCCCACGCCTTGCTCCCCCCTCTCCCCACACCCCACAGCAGACCTCGGTCCTGGACTCCAGCGCTCTGAAGACGCGGGTGCAGCTGAGCAAGCGCAGCCGCCGGCGCGCGCCCACCCTCGGCCACGCCCTGCGCAGCCGCTCCGGGGAGGCCGGGGTCCCCACCCCCGTGGAGGAGGAGGCCGACAGCCTGTGGATGTTCAAGGACTCTACAGGTTCGCAGGCCACGCCCTTCCCCCCCCCACCACCCGGAACTGCGGGGAGGGTTGACCTCAAACCCAGGGAGGAGGTTCCCAGACAGCAGAACGCGACCACGTAGGATGGGGGGGTTCTTCTTCTACAGAGCTGATAAGTGTTTTGAGAGAGAATCAAGTCGGGCCCTTTGGGTTACAAAGGGCGCAGACACAACATAACATTGGTTTGTGATCCCTGTGAAAGTCGCCCATCTCTGTTCGTTCTTTAGGCTTGCTGATCCTTCCCTAGGTTCTTGCGTGGATAGACCAGGTTTTGTTTTTGTTTCTTGTTTTAATTAACTTTCCTAAATACATTTTTAGAGGCTATATGTTTTCCTCTGGGCACTGCTTTGGCTGCATTCCATATTAAGAGCAGAGCAGAATCTTGAGGCAGATAAGAATGACCTAGGGAAGAGCATTGTGGACCCAGCCATCAACGGGTGGCCGGGGTGGGAAGAGCTTTCTGTGTGGCAGGAGCTGGGAATCTTGGCAGAGGGAGGGGTGGTCCGGGGCCAGGGAGACCCCTGAAGTTCTGCTGGGGACTTAGCTGCAGGGCCTCGCTTCTGGGTGAGGGGGGACCGGGTCCCTCTCTCCCATCCCCTGCGCCCGCCAGTGAGTCAGATGTCTCCCCGAGCCTCCTGGGTTTTCCTGGAGCCACTTGGAGCAGATAAACCAGAGTTAGGATAAAAATGCAGAGCGCCCCCAGGGGCGTCCTGGTGGCCTGGAGGAGCAGCCCCAGGGGCCTGGAGGGGCAGGACACAGTGGACTCCCCACCTTCCCACCTCCCACCCTGCATGCATCACGCGGCCCTGGCTGGCGGGCCACCCTCAGCCTCTGCCAGGGTGTCCACCGGCTTCCCTGACCTGGATGTGGCCTGTCTGTCTGTCTGTCTGTTCTTTCCTAGGAGAGAATCCACTCGGTATCAGCTAGCAGGAGATAGAGCTTGGGGGGGGGGGACCTGGTAGAAACAGGAGCTGGGAGCGTCCTGCCCGCTCCAGGCCGCCGTGGAGAGGCTGTGGTGGCAGGGACGGGCACAGAGGCCTCCCTGCTCCCCGCGTGGCGTGGCGTGGCAGACGCCGGCCACTGGACTCCCTTGCTTTGCCACAGAAGAGAAATCGCCCCGGAGGGAGGAGTCAGATGAGGAGGAGAACCCGGCCAGCGCGGAGCGGACGCCGGCCGGCCCCCTGCACAGGACGCCCGCCTTCCCGGGCCTGGACCCCGCGGCTCTCAAGGTACTGGACTCGCCCCAGCCGCTGCCTCCC